TATTGAGTTTGTCATTTATATTGTGAAATATACTATAAAAGACAAGCGTGGTTGAAATCGATGATGGACGATTAGATTGATGAACAGCTGTTGGCAGCTGTTTATTATGTCCTTTTGACTGACTATTATTTAATAATGAATTAATCCAACAACGTTATCTATGAGAACGTGTAAATGAAGGAGAACTTTGAATAACACTATTTGATGTATAGAAAATTTTGTTTGTTTTGATGATATAGATAAAATGAAAGATGGACTAATATCATTTGAAAAATTATAATTCATTGACTAAATATGTTATTATAGTCATTAGATCAAAAATTTGTTTTTGTTTGACAAAAAAAAGCAAAAATGAATCAGATACAAAATTATAGATAATTTGGTTTTTATCTTGATTACTGAATCCCTACAATAGTAAATGAATATATTCGATCAATGAATATGTTTGAAAATTTTTCATTTCTTTCAAACTAGATTAAGTGGGAAATTGACTTTAAAACTCGAATTATTCTATAGATTGATGTTGGATTCAGATTAAGTACACAAGGCTAGCTTCAAAGGAAAACTATTCATAATTACTCGAATCTTTACTTAATTTGTCTATTGATGATTGTATTACGAGAAATACAACCGTTTCATCAAAGATTATTAATAAGAATTCCAAGGAGTCTTCGATCTACAGATTAATTCGAATTTTAACATAAATTTCTTTCTCAATCTAACATTAGACTTAGTCTAACAATGGAGATGTTTCTGTTGTTAGTTAATATCAACTAGACATTTTCGGGTCAAATTAAAGCTTTCATCGTCACGCTAACAAATTAAAATTATAGACTATCCTTGTTGTACACAGATCGAGATATTCGAATTTTAAGGGATTGACAATATATGTATAGTGTTCGCCATTCAAAATTTCATCAGAGTGTTTTTTGTTATGGTTAGACAAAGCTCATTGAGTTGCATAAGAAAAAATATGTTTCAAATTAAAAGAAATTTTTTTATAGAAGTCAGAGTTTTGAGTCTATTTTTTCTTGTATTTGAAAATGATGGTATCTTGGACATTGTTACTGAAATATTTTTTTTAAATTGAACCATACGTTTTCTTATGCAATTCGATGAACTCTATCCAACCATCACAAAAAAAACTCTGCTGAAATTTTGAATTGCAAGCATTTTTCATATACTGTAAGTATCCTAAAATTCGAATATCTTGGTTCGTGTACGGCAAGCGAAGGACTATATTTTAGATTTGTTAGTTTGACGATGAAAGCTTTAATTCGATTCGAATATGTCTAATCTTATTAACTAACAACAGAAAGACCTCCATTGTGAGTTTGAATGTTAACATATACATAAATTTGATGACTGACTTGATCAAAAACATAATAAATGCGACCAATCTTGTTAAAATTTTGCTGTTTTAAACATGATTGTTATTTAATTAATCAGGATGAATTTTGTTTTTTATCTATTGTTATATTGATTTTTTGTGAGTTTTTTTAAAGAATGATTTATGTTTGATTCTGTTTATCGTTAGAGTTGTTTATTATTAAGTAATAATATTTCATTTTGAAGTATAGGAAACGTTTGATTAAGTGTAACTGATTTAGGCAAAGAATGATAAGAAGAATTCTGTCGTAGATTTTTATCGTGAATATCATTTTGTATTGTTTTATTATCTTGTAATTTATCAAAAATTGATCATCTTATGATAACATGTAAAAAAGTTGATTGAATGTTAATCTTGTTTTGTGACATGCAACTACACGATTTGTTAGATTTGTCTTCGAAACAATAATATAATTATTTTTTTTTATCTGTTGAAAATAATCTGATGAAAAAAAACCCTCGTAGTTATTTATGATTTGGAAACTCTAGTTACCATTGATATTAGAAAACATGAATTGATTGATTTATATGAATTTGAATATTTCATTTTTTTTTTCATAATTGATTTGTTTAAGAAATATTGTGTAAAGATTGTAAAGAAGATGATGTTGTTGGAACGTTTGCATCCAATGAAGGATAATGATAACGAGTTTTTGAAGATCTTGATTGACCTTGTTTCATTTGTGAAATATAGGAATCAAATGTACGTAAAACTTCATCAGATGAATTTTCATTTGTATTTGATTTAACATAAGTTTCAATTAATTCATATAATTTTTTACAAATATCAATACGTAAATGTTGTTCAAATGAATGAGGTAGAACAGTAAATATATGTTTTAAATGATTTTCAAATTTTTTAATTAATATTTCATTAAACCGTTTTCTATAATCAAATTTATATATTTGACATTCAATTGAACGTATACATTCTATTGCTTGTTTATCAATTAATGCATGATCTTTTAAACGTTGTAAATCTTTAATTAAATATCGATAAACAACTGGATTTTTTTGTTTCATTTCAATGTATCGATTCATTAGTGGTACAATAGAATTATCTAAATGAGAAGTAAATTACAGTACTAGTCCAAAATATAAGTTCAATGTATTTTTTTTCTACGATACTAATCATTTAACTCAAATCTAAATAGTGATTTGAATAGCAAATGAATTTCTCTATCAAATGCATTCCGTAATGAAATTTCATAGACGGACTATGAGAGAAAGGTGTCTGGAAAACCCAACACGATATTTTCAAGGTCCTAGAAGATTGTATGAAATCACTTTTTAAGAGTACCATCTTAAAGAACACAAAATTCTGAATAAAATAAAAGATTGTTGCATCTCCTATGGTCTTTTCTTACAAAGTTATAAGTTACTAAAAACCAGCTTAAAAACACACTTTCTTTGTTTTTATGAAGCTTACAAGTTTTTAACGAAACATCGTAAAAAGATAGAACAATCTCTCATTTTATTGAGAAATTTGTACTCTTTAACATAGTACTTTTAACAGTCTTCTGAGACTTGAAAAGTACTGTGTCAGGTTTTGTCAGAAACTTCCGTCTCATAGTCCATCTATAGAATTTCAGTATGAAATGCATTTGATAGAGAACCTCATTATCTATGCAAACTACTATTTGAATTTGAGTTAAAAGCTTGGTTTCATAGATAAAAAAAAAAGAAAAATATGTTGGACTGATATTTTTGATCAGTATATTGTATTATGAATAATGTGTATTTACTATAGAGTCGATTAAGATTAGCAAGTTCATCAAATAGTTTTATGATTTGTTTTTTATTAGAATTTCCATTTTCTTCATTTAAATGCCAAATAGAAATTAAATCTTGTGCTTTAGATAAACGAAATTGTTCTTGATAAACAAAAGTTTTTAATTCTTCACAAATCATGTAAAATTCATTTTGATTTAATGAATTTAATAGACGTGATTCAAATGTAATTATTTGTGATAGATCTATTAAATCAATAATATCTTCAAGAAAATAGATATGTTCTTTTATTTCAATAGATTTTTGTAAATTGATTAAACCATCATTAAGTAAATCATTTATTTTATCGAAAAGATCAATAAGAAGTTGATTATTATTAGTTTGTTTTAATGAAAGAAGAGAAATATCTGATGTACGATAAAGATTATTATAAATTTCTTCAAAATTATCTTGTGATAAAGTACCACAACGTTCAAACTAAATGAAAAAGAAAAATTATATTTAGATTAAAAATAACTTTCCTAGATAACAATTATTTTCTTGTATTTTATATTGCAATCTTTGATCTTAGAAAAATGTTAAAGCTCTACAAAACTGTATACTTCACTTTAAACGAAAAAAACAAGTGTGACATCATTACTGAGAAATTCACTAGGTTTCTAACAAAAGATGAAAATATTCTCGATGAGCTCGTCTATCTATCAAAACTTTTAACAACAGCTTCATGTAAAAATTCAGGACACAATAAATGAAACAAAAACAAAAAAAATCATTATCAAGGATATTTTCAACTCCTCAGTACAGCTTAGACATTCGAAAGTGGATTAGCCAAATAGAAGACCATATTCTCTATCTTTTGATATACAATTATGTGCTTTCAAAGTTCTTCATAGTTTTGCAACGTACAAGCAACAATGCGTTGCAGTGTGAATATACTGGATATATGTAAGTGTTTGGATTGTCGTGCAAATGCAAAATGTTCTTAATTTTGTAAAGCTTGAAATTCTCTATCTTTTGGTATATGTTAGTATATTTTTTTTTTCGACAGATCTTCCAAGATTTTGCTACATTTATTATTGAAATTTGCAAATTGTTTTACTTGTTTGGTTTATCCTGTTCTGTACAATCTCGCTTGAATTTTCATTCAGTAATGATGACATAGCAGGGAAGTATTTATCCAGAAATAGAACCGGTCTGAACAAGTCAGACGAGACCCAACCAGCTAATATAACAGGCCAACCGGTCTAAAATCTGGATCGATACCGATTTCATCTCTGCATTTATACTTGGTTACGAGTTGTATTTCGTTTCCAGGCATTAAAATTGTTTAATTATTTTTTGCTGGTAAACTTTCAAAAGTATGCTATCTTCTCGAGTAATTCAAATGAGTCTTATGATTGTAGAGAGTCAGTTTTTTTTTCAAAGATTCATCAATAGAATTTTTGTACGATCTACGCTTGTAAAAGTCGAAGAAAGAATCATTTCTTGGTTTCATACTTTTAATAATTGATCTCGAATTGATTTATCAAATATTTTTCCATCCCATTTAAGTCGTTCTAATAATTTATCAGTTAAAGTCAATGAATATAAATTATTTAATTCTTGTGGTAATAAATTAATAAATTTTTTAATTTGATCAAGATCCATTTGTTTTATATAATGAAATTTTTCTAATTCAAATCGATAACGAATAAGTTCATCGATTGATAATTCATTTTGTAAAATTTGATATAAAAAATGACGAAAACGATAATTTAAATTATCTGATATTTTATATTCGGATGTAAGTTGTTGAATATAAAATTCCAATTCAATTGCACGAGTAATATCATTTAATATTAAACGATAAGATTGAATCAATTGAAAACCATCTTTATCAAATAAATATGTTTTACCTTCACATAAAATAGATCAATATTAACTTTATTATTATTATTATTATTATCAATAAATCATTTACCATGATATTTATGAATTCCATCAATAATAAGTTTAATTTGTGGTAAAGAACATTTACCATAACGAGCTAATTGATTAAGTCTACTTTGTATTTCAATTAATGTACCTGTATCAATTTTATCTTGTTGTTCAAGTTGTATTAAATGTTCGATTATTTGTCGAACATTTGGATGATTAAGATCTAAAGTAAATGGCCATGTTTGAAGTTTATTTTGAATTTCATTACATTTTTCTATAGTCAATGATGAAAATTCATTAGTAAGAAAATATTGTGTTAAATAATTAACAAAAGCTTTATCCTATAGAAATAATTTTAATTTTAATTTTGAAACAAAAATAAAAAAATTCAAATTTAATTTTACTTGTAAATATCCTAATTGAGTCATATGTTTTATAATATCTTCAATGTATTTTTGTTGTTGAAAACATTTTATTTGAATATTTTGAAGAATTTTATCTAATTCACATTCAGACAAAAAATTATATGTATTTAAACGTGATATTTTTAAAAAATGTTTATGCATTTGTACAATAGCATTTAATGATTGTTTTCTACTTATAAAATTTTTTCTTTTTAATATTTCTTTTATTTTATTATAAAATTTATAATTCATTGTTGAACCAAATAATTGTTCAAGTAATGTATGATCATTATTAACTTGTTTACAAAATAATATCATATCATTTAAACATTTTCGAATTTCATCTGGTATTCGTTTAATATTCATATGAGATGAAAGAAATAATTTTTGTAATTCTCGTTCAAAACAATGAAGTTCAGCTAAAGAATTTGAATAAGATTCAGCAAGAATTTGTAAATAATCAATTAATTTTGGATAAATTGGTTGTTGACGATTATATTCAAGTTGAATATTTATAAGTAGTGTTTTTATATCATGATTTGTAATAGGTTCTGTTCGACATAAATTAATCAAACGATCGAGTATAATCCATGCTTGACCACGAGTTAAATGACCTAAATATCGAAGAATCTAAGAATTTGCTGGAAAATATCGAAAAAAAACCCGGAAAAATAGAGAAATTCAAGCCGTCGACAATGAAATTTTTTTTAGTAATATTAACGACAAGAAGAATTTTATTCGATCATATGAAAAAAGACAATAGAAAAGAAAAAGGTAAGTTTATTAATCTTAATTCAATTTTTTTTGGCGTTGGAGTATAGGTCTTTTCTTTACTCACATACCTTCACCTATATTCAACCTCCCCCCCCCCCCCCCCCCAAAAAAAAACAACTTGTCTTTTATGGGACAATGTGTAGTCTCGGATCAATAATGTCAGCATTCGATCCATGGATTTCCGGCTGGAAAACATCGTAAAATGGTAGGAACTTGGAAGGACAAGTTCAGTAATCGAATCTACTCAGTTCCGATCATTGGATTACTGTGTCCAACTTTCTATCATTTGTCATACTTTTCTGAACGTAACCTGTTATAGAGTAATCAGATCTTGTTCTTCACCATCTTCGAATAGTATTTCTTACTTTTGTTCGATCTGAAATCAATAGCACATTTTCGAATCATTCTTAGTGCGTTTATTGTAGCTATTTTCATTTTCATCTATCTATCATTAGTTTCGGTTACTTTCAGATAACAATATGAGACTTTTCGATTTTCATAACATTTTCTTTGCTTTTCATTATTCTAATTCATCAAAAATATTCAGATCACATAGATATAGAACAAACGAATTATACGTGATTTCTTTTTTTATTTATCATAATGTATAGGTTTTTTTAGTTCTTTGACAACATTAAGTATCTTAATGTTGTTGATGAAAGAGATAAACATTGTTTTCGGACAATATCATACAAAATAAGTTTTTTTTTCTTTATTTTTTTGAAGATAAATCTAAATTGACACATCTAGTCCGGACTTGTTTCTCAGCGATTGGATCGACATCCTTTTGTAGAAAACGAAATTCTAGTCACAGATAGTCATTTGTTTGCTACATCAATAGATTTAATTTTATTGTGTATTTCAAGATTTAGTTTAAGGTCGAACAAAAAAAATGTTCTCGCATTGTTTAAGACAACTGAATAAATAATTGTATACTAAATAAATTTCTTCTGCAAAATTTGTTCGATTTTTTTTCTCTTACCATCAAAAATCATATCATTTAAAAATTTATCAAATTCAATTAAATTCAAATGATTATATGCATAAACATAATGAATAGTTTTCATATGTTCTAAAATCGTTTTAAATGTTTCTACATTAATTTTATTTTGATCTTTAGCTTTGTATAAATCAATTAAGATATTTAAAATTTGTGGTTCATATAGAATGCCTAATTGTGCAAAATGACGAAGGTATTGAATAAAATAAGAAACACATTGATAGGGAAGACGATCCGATAGTGATGTTGAAGATGATTGTTCATAAAGAAAGTTAAGTATGGATTGAAGATTATTGTTGTTAATATCAGTTTGTTGATAGATAGTAGTTAACGAATCTAAATATTATTTATTATTTAAATAAAAAAGACCATGATGTTCTTATACTTTGTTCTTTGATTTTTACATGTTGTGTAACAACATTAGTATATGAATTTAATTGTCCTTTATAAGCTAAATTCATTAAAATAGAAATTAATTCATTATGACTATTCTTTAATATTGTATTGTCATTGTTCGATATTAATTTAGTCTTTTGTAATAAAATATTTAATTGATTAATAAATAAAACTTTTTTTGTTGGACTCGTTTGTATACTCTGATTCATTTGTTCAACAAGACGTTGAAGATAAAGTCCGATAAATCGACCAGTTTGTATATGTTCTATAAATTGTATTAAATATCGTTTTAATTGTGGTGTTTTATTTAAAGTTAATAATAAACCCGAATGAACTAATTGTTGAAGATTATCAATAAGAATAAGAGTAGTTGTTGGTCCTAAACGATCGATATTCAATTGAAGTTGATGAATTATTTCTTTTATGCCTAAATAAATGAATATTTCATTTAAGGGTACGCTCCCTTTTCGATGATTCTGGAGAACGGCTCATCAGAAAAATTTGAAATTTTCAGGGCAGGTAAATCTTGACGAATAAAGCAACATTTATCATAGACTCAAAGTTCTCGGATGCTGTCTTCTATGAGATGCTGGGATCCCAGTGTCCCTTTCGTTTGTCCAAGATGCAACATTTGAACGAGCTGAAATTTTTTTTACAGATATTAAATACAGTTTGGGGTACATATCTTTTTATTTTTTTTGTCTTTAGAATAAAAAAGTCAAAATATGGAGGGTGCTCTAAAAAACACATGTTTTTTTGAATAGGACTGCCAAAAATCATCAGACATACTAGGCCGGAGAAACACAGTCGTTTCTGCCCTTTTTTTTCATGAAAGAGTCGGTTTAAGAAAAAAAGCGCGAAACGATGTACAGCTTTCACTAATTTGATTTCTTCTCAAATTTTTTAACTTTTAAAGACAACCTTTGAAAATTATACCATAGCCAGAAAAAACCAAAAATTTTGGGTCATGAAACCGGGAGGAAAGGTACCCTTGAATAGAAAAGTTTATAAAAAAAATCACAACCTAAATCGTTAAGTGGTATTTGTTTTGGAATAATACGTTGTATATCATCATCAATAAATTGTGAAAAAGTTTGTTGATTAGGTTCATTTTCAAATAGATCAAGTTGAAAAAGTTTTTTAAACATTTTCAATTGTTGATTTAATATACCCATACGTGCTCTTATGCAAAAAGTAAAATATTATATAATAAAATAATTTATTTTGTTAAATATTTATTTAACTTACAAATGATTTATACGTTGATTAAATAGATGAATTTTTTGTTTATCTAATTTATTAAATTTTTCTAAATAATCTATTCGAAAAAGTATTTTCATTAATTGTGATAAATTTGTCAATGATAGTTTTTGTGTATTATGAGATGCTGCTTCTTGTAAATTTTGTATAGTTTTTAATATATCTTTATTATATAATTGATTATGTATTATTTTATAAACTAATTTAATAAGTATATCACAAACTTCAATTTTATCAAGTTTATTTTCAATAGCTAATTGATGTATACAATTTTTTAATTCTAATATCAATGATGAATCAATATCAAGTGAAGAAAGATGTTGTTTAAAAAGGACAAGCTCATTTTCATTGAATTCACATGGATTATTTTCTATGAAAAATATTCTTTTATTTTAAACAGGAAAAAAAAATGTTTTTGTAGTAATAATTCTTACTAACCATATATGTTTATCATTGATGGAAGTGTAATATGATCACTTATAGCTTGTTGTTGAATCATTTGTTCTTTTCGATTAAGTATACGAAATGTAAATGATAGAGAATTACTATCTAATGAAGTTCGATTAATTCGTTGTGGATCAGTAACTATATATTGTCGAATATCAATATCATGATTAACATATATTGGAATAGTAGATGATTGTGATAAAGGTGTTGGCATTACATTAGGTGAAACTGTAGATGACGAAGTTTTACCAATAGTACTTTTTGTTTGATCTAGAATTTAATATGTATGTTGTAAGTAAAATTGAGATTTGATTAAAATCCAAATTTCATCTAAGAAAAATTGGAATTCGACTAGAAGTAAATTGGTACAATCAAAATAACTAAAATTTGAGTAGAATAACTATTTTATATTCAACAATATGTTCTTTTTTTTTTCTTAACTACTTTAAAACTAAAACAAGACTTTAGTCTGTTCAATCATATTTACATTGCCACCTCGTTTCGAATGACAATATCATTATAAGAATTTTTTTTCTCGAAAATTTTTCACATAGAGAATTCTTTTATTCTTTATAATAAAGCAATTCGTCATTATCTACAGGATACTCCAAAGGTTCGTCAGGCTAAGAAAAAGATGAATAGCTCTTAAGCACTTCAAGCGATTTGCATGAACTTTCTATGACTTCGTTCCATGTTGTATGTTATTAGATTGTAAAGCGTACATCTATATTTCTACTACTTTATTAATACGACCGCTAAGACTCCAATTTTTCTCTCTGTTGTGAAACACGATCTAAAAGGAGTGTTGAAGTATATCGGATAGAAATTTTTATTCCCCACAGACCATGACATAGATTGTTGATATACAATCAGAGACTTTATATCAATAGCGGCTTGTTACAACATATTAACGACTTTCTTATTGCATTTCTGGAGAATTAAATGAAAGAAAGATGAGGAAATGTGTCCCAAGATATATAGAATAAAACAATCTTCCTCGGATTAGTAATACCAGCTACAAGGTGTTTCATATTTTAATTTCACAAGAATTGCGCTAATAGCTTTTTGTTTTCATTGCATTGGACTTTTAGTAAAGTACGTGATTGTATGAATTTATATCAAATCGAATTTCAATTTAGTCCCACAGCATATATATCATAAGATTAATATATTTAAAAAAGATTTTTACTAGTACGCTTTGTTGTTGATATTTGACTAACACTATGTAATGATGAATAATAATTCGATTCATTTTTAATATTTATATATTTTCGACAAATAATTTTTGTTTTTTCATATTCTTTCATATAATCAATTAAATTACTTAATGCTTTTACAAATGGTTCTATTTCATAGATGATAAATGGTATAGTTTTAGGTAAGAAAATTTTTTCTGGAAAAATTTCTATTGGAATTAATTTTAAATCAATCAATGGTTGATATTTCCTATCATCATATTTAAGTAAAGCTAAATAAATACCGGGATTTATTGATTTTGATATGTTAATATCATTATTTAAAATAAATTCTTCATTTGTATTGACTTCATATAAAATTATTGGTAAAAAACTTTTTAATAAACAAAAACGTGAACGAATTAAATTAAGTATTTTTAATGAATGACAATAACGATTAATTGTAAGCATTGAATGAAATGAAATAAGAACACGAAAAAAAGGTATATCATCATTCGATGTACATCGAGAATGAAAAGGCATTCGTAAGAAACTGAGAAAAAAAGAGATCTTTAAATGTAACAATGCGCCATTAAATATTATTTATTTAAAATGCCTTTATATATTCTTTCAAAAGAGCATGAATTAAATGAAATTATTCTTGAACGACGTTTAAATATTATTGTATTTACTGTATGTTGGTCACTTGGTTCGAAAATAATTTTATCAACTATATTCGATTTATCATATGAGAAAAATTTAACTCATATAAATTTTTATCGTATCGATATTAATGAAAATAATCATGAATTAATTCAACATTTGAATATAGTTAGTCTAGTTTTTAAAGAGAATATTTTTTTTTATTGTTTATATATATATATATATTTGAATGAGCCATTCTTACTTTTTCAGTTGTTTATTAATTAAAAAGTAATTAGCAAATATCTTTCTAATCATATGAGAAAAAAATTCCAAAACTTCAGAATAGACTCTACGATACGGGTCGAATTTATGGTGAAATTTTCATCAAGATTGAGCTCCAAAAAATTTTCTCTTAAAAAAACGACTTTTTAGAGATTCTGAACAAGGATGTAATACCGTTTAGAATTAATTTTAAACTTTTAATTGGGTTATAAGAGCATTTTTTCATTTATATATTTGTACTCCATCACATCGTTAACGAAAAGAAAATTAATTCGTATGAAGAATCTGGACATGTTCAAAAAAAGAATGTTTCGATATAGATTTTGTAGCCTTAGAAATTGTCTATCGAACGTACGATTTAGTTTTCAAAAATGCCGTCTCAATTTGGAGTTTTTTTGAAACTAAAATGTATAAAACGAAAGTCGTTGTCCTTTTTAACTCTAGCTTTTTTTTTTACTGATAACTCCTCTGAACGAAGGTCTCTAGCGCTAATTTTAGAGTAAGTTAACATACATGTGACATATAAAAATAAGCTTTAGAATAGTTCATTATCCCGAGATGTACATATTTTAATTTTGCGACGGTAAATTGCTAACGAATAATTTTGTCTCGCATATATGTATTTACAGATAACAATTCCTACTATTCAATGGTATTTTCATGGAAATAAATTAGATGAAATAATTGGTCTTGATATTGAACAATTTATAAACAAAACACAGCATTTAGCAATGGTAAAGAAACATTTTTATTTTTACTTTTCTTTTGTTTTTTTGAATCATTTTTTTTCGATAGATTTATAAACGTAAAACAATTAAAGAAACATCAAAAATAAAATTAATGTCTTCTACAGATGAAAATACTATTAATGAATACAACGAAAAAAAGTCTTCATGATCAATTAAAGACAAACTTTGTGGTTTTTATTCTGTAATGATATGATATAAAACAACAGACAGATTGTATATATCAAATTTCAAAAAAGTCAAGAACACAATTAACATTCATCATTTTCTTTAGTATTATTCTTTTATTTTTTTTTCTTCAAATATATAGATGTATTCAAATCAAAAACTAGCTATTGATTTACTTATTTCCATATTTATAACATTTATTTTAACAACAACTATTTTATCAATGTCAACAACTCATTGGCATATTAATACAAATTATAATCGTACTGGTTTATTTCAACAATGTTTAAGTACATGTTGTTGTCAAGCAAAAGAATTAAATCGAACAGTAACAATGTTAGTTTTATTTAGTACTATTCTTCTTTTGATAAGTACATTTTCATCATTTTTATTAATGATAATAACAATAGATAGTAAAAATCGATATTATACATTTGTACCATTAACATTATTTAGTGCAGGTATTTCAATGACATTAACATTCATACGAATATATGAATTAATTCATGTTAATGGTTATTCAGCTTTTATTTTTCTTATTGATACTGTTCTTAGTTATGTTTTAGGTGGTATTACAATTTTACATGGTAGTCTATTTTATTACTAAGAATATATATTCGAAATAAACATATGTGTAAATATGATGTTCTTTTTTCTTCTGTTGCTTTAAAATAAAAAATAAAAATTTCATTTTATCGAACACTTTTTTTTTCTATTCATTCTACTAGAACTATTTTTATATTTATAAAATATATATAATGCTTGACTAATCTAAAACAATTATTTCATAAAAGTTTAAAAATGTTTAAAAAGACATAAGAATAGAAGATTCATAATAATCGTCATTGGTAGAATAACATTATATGATGTAACATTCGGCAAGAGAGTAATAGTAACTTTAGATAAAATAGTTGTAGCTTCCTTCTCAATACTACATGATGTATTAGTAATGCCAGGTGTAAGACCACATATATTTGGATACATTTTATAACATTGTTCAAAAGAACATGTTGTTGCATCACATTTATTAACAGAAAATATTAATAATTGAGATTGACATTGTTCACCTGGACAACATTCACATTGACATAATGGAAGTTTTGATAATCCAGATATATGGTTATATGAAATTAGAAGAAGAAAAACAACTCGTATGTAGAATGAAAACATGTTTTAATAAAATGCAAAAATAAAAATTATCGCTTTTTATATGTCTAATCAAAATTGATTACATAGATTATATTGATTTAATCCTTTAATATCTATTTTCAAATATGTTTTGAGATACGGTACAAGTGTAATTTGATATCTTCTTGCAATATAATATATCTTCATGTAAAACAAAATTACTCATCAGAACGAAGAAGAGATATGAAACTGATATTTTTCTTCTTTAGTTGATGCGAACTATTACTAGTCACATCTATTTTCATTGTTCATTGATTTCTTTTCGATTTTTTTTAATTTCATACCCATAGGATAATATTAAGTTCATCGACGAAAGAATTCAAAAATGAATTTAATAATTTCGTTGAATTCTTTTCTATTTTAAATGTTGAATAACAATGACCATTTTAAAAATGATTCTATTCTTTGATTGAATCTCCTAATGTGCTAGTTTTATAATATTATACATAAATTATATGCATGAGATGCAATAGTATAATTATCAATTGAAATTTCCAGCGACATGAAGAAGAATTGCAGACAAAATTCATAATCTTTTATAAGATTTTTATGAAAAATATCAATGATAATCGTTTGTGGTCGCAACCGACAAGCAATTCACCTTCAACATCTTCCAACATAAAGTCACATGTAGAGATGTAAACCAATGCATTAGTCGACGGTAACAAGTTTTCGATACTTTTATCTAAAATCCTTTTATTCGGAGACTTTCAAAAGTCTCCGATCTATTCTTATGTTCTGGAGATAATTGTTGAAGACAGTAGCAGCGACGGCGATAGCTTACATCTCTATTCATATAAAAGCAAATATCTCAAATTCTATTGTTACTAATTTCTTTTTTCGTGTTTATCCTGTAGAACCAGAGTGTTATTCATAATATTTTATATCGAATGATGAGTATTTTTCAAAACGAAAACAAGTTTTACAGCTAAGATTTGATATATATTTTTTTTGTGACATTAAAAATTGACATATACAAAGCATAAAAATTGTATATACAATGGCTAAAAAAGAAAAAAAACAATACTTTCTTGTTGATTATCACTTCCGATGAAATACTATCCTATTCAAAAACGATTTTTTTTCATATATATATATCATTATAAAAGTTTGAATAATTAAAATTTCTTTTTTTTTTGTTTGTTTCTTTGTTGATCCATTGTTGATATGTGAATTACATGCGTGTTACATTTTGCACATCAACTTGATAACGTGCACGAGCTATTTCTCTATCATCTTCACCAATATGTATTTTCATTAATTTACTATAACCATGATAAACCCATGCACCAATTATTCCACCAAATATTGGACCTATTAATGGTATCCAAAAATAATAATTACCAACACTAAATACTTCTGATCCATAACCAACACAAAGAGTAAATAAACGTGGACCAAAATCACGTGCTGGATTTATTGGAAAACCACAATTGTATCCTTTAAAACAAAAAACAGAAACAAATCAAAAAAAAAACACAGATAAATAGTGATATATTCAATACCAAAAGCAACACCAATTGCAACAATAATAAAACCAACAGCAAGTGGAATTAGAGCATTTGCTACAAGTTTATTTCGTTTATTTGATAATGCACAAATACCAATAAGTAACAAAGCTGTTGAAAGAATTTGATCAAAGAATAGGGATATTTGACTAACACCTTGTGCAGGTAATGTACCAAATATTCCAGCAGTTGCTTGTATACCTGTTACCTAATATTAATTGATTTCAATCGAAAATTTGTTTTTCTTTGTCTTTTAAAAATGAAATGAATTCTTTACCTGTCGTACACCATGATCAAATTGATTTATTGCATCAAAATACGTACCAAATACTAAACCAGCCGCAATGAATGCACCAATAAATTCTAAAAATTAAATTAATCAAAAGAAGAAATTTTGCTAATTAATTATTTTATTTAAATTTTAAATGAAAACAAAATTGATTTTCATGGCAATGTATTCTAAATCGACGAGAAATCATACAAATATTATTACGTAAACAACATTGATATATAAGCAAGATGAATGATGTGTGAAAAATGGAAACAGGGATACGATGTTTGAATCCAATGGTCGAATTTTACTGCTTTCAGAGGGTTACAACCATAATCGAAGCAGAGCCGACCATCGGACACGATCATCATAATACTATTTCGAAGTTCTTACCATTGCCCGGAGTCTTCCAACTGAAATTATTGATCTGAGTACATAGTTATGGTACCAATAAAGCTTTTGTCTTTTACCTGATGAAATTTACGTCGAACTATACTTTTATTTATTAAATATTCTTCTAGTCAATTTCCATTTCATTACCAGATTCGGATGAGCTTTTATATTATTATGTCACTTACGAAATTCGCCTTTTATTTGTACATTTAATGAAAACTTTCAATGGGAAATTTATGCATACAAAAACTTCCCAAAAAAGTGACGGGCATGAAAGAACTCTTGAGAAAGCAATACAGACCATATATAATAGATACAAAGGAAGAGACAGTAAGAATAAATAACTGTATTTGAAACTAATCCGAAGAAATCGTGTGCATATTCAGGCTTGACATCAGAGCGATAGAAAATATACAGATGAAATATTAATTTGTGATGATACTACGTCAATACTGTCTGAAGAAAAGTAAGAAAGAAAAAATATATGCGTCATATCACCAACAACAATATCTTTACAGATAATCATACCTTGTTTTAATTACAAATGACTGATTAATAATAAATTTTACTTATCGAACTTATTAATAATAAGTTTTATCTATCGAACTTATTATATAACTATACCTTCAATTTATTAATTTAATAAAACAATATTTTACTTGTATATATAAATTATCAAACTTAGCAAAGATTTTTATTATTGACAATGGAGATATTTGTATTGTTGATTAATAAGACTAGATATTTTCGGTTCAAAATAAGCCTCTCACCACCAATTTAAGAAATTTCAAATATATAGGCTGCTCTTGGTGTGTACGGACCGAGATGTTCGAACGTTAAGGTATTTATAGTATATGTAAGGTGCTCGCTATTGAAAATTTCAACAAAGATTTTATTTTCGATGATTGAATAGAGTTTATCGAATTGTATAAGAAAAATTATGGTTCAAATTTTAAAAAGTCTGAATTTTATGTGTATTTACTCTTATATTTGAAAATGATGGTATTTTAGACGGTTTTTGCGAGCCGTTTACATGTACTGTAAGTACCTTAGAATTCGAATATGTCGAGTCTTATTCACTAGCAACAACAAAATAGTAACCTAAGATAAATATCTTTTCAATACATACGGGCTATAATATAAGAAAGACATTGTAAAGGTGTAATCGATCGTAAACTAAGCATCGCGATTGATACAGCTGGGTTAATATGAGCACCTAATAATAATAATAATAATAATAATAATAATAATCAATATAATGATTTCTTATAGAAAATAACAATAGAAAAGCTTCACCTGATACAGGACCAGCAACATAAACAGCAATCATTGCTCCAAGACCGAAAGCAAAATTAACTGATAAAAAACTCGAAAGTGTACCACGTGAAAGAGTATATTGAGCAATGCCCGAACATCCGAATAAAACAAGAATAGCTGTACCAATTAATTCTGCAAGGCATTCAGCTAATAAACGAAGCCATGGAGTGTGTGATCGAATAGCACTCCCACGAATATCTTCAGATGTTGTTCGTTGAGCTGAAATATAAAATAAATAAATCAGATCATTGATATTGTTTGATTTTTTTTTGTAAAAAAATACTTTTTAATAAAACAAACCAAAATCTGAATATGTTATTGATGTTTGTTCATCAAGAGAAGCTATCTGTACAGCATGATAAATATAAGCATCAATATTTCGTCGTTGTTGGGTTTCTTGTCTCATATTTTTCTTCTCATCAAACTGATAACCAGGATGAAGAACACATACATGATACATCACTGGTAATATTTCTCTTTGTATTATCAAAATTTAGTTTTCATATGAGACAAAACAGACTAAAGCATTTTCTGTCAGATAAGAATCTAATTAATTCAATTATGAAAAAAAAAATTTCTTTTTTTGTATGAAATATAGAACAACGATTCACATATGTATTACGCACTTAGGAAAAAAACGACAAAACAAAAATATATTCAACGATAGATGATATTAAAAATAATCGATAAGTTATTTGAAAAAGCAAATAACAGTTCTTGTAGAAATAAATTATTTATTTAGTATGTTACTATTTTCGAATACATTCATTCGTGTGTTATAAATGTTGCTGTACTGAGACAAAAAGAAGTACAAAAACAAAATATTTCGATCTATTTTTGTTCTTAATTTAATTCTCAACGTAAGTTTTAATATTTTGAAATAATAACTGGTATGTGTTTATATATCAATCATACCCACAATACAGAAAAAAAAAGTATTTTATAAATAATAAAAATTCTTTTTTACCCGTATCAGCTGTAGGATTTGTTGGTGGAGCTCCAATACTTGAGCTTGATTCACTGTGAATAGAAGATGATGATTGACGTCGTTGATCCATATTATATAATTCATGCTGGTATTTATCATCGTTACTTACAAGTTCATGTTCATCATCATCATCAATAGTAACTATGTCATTTGGTGTTAGAAAACCTGCAATTCTATCGTTTCTATTCCGTGTATCGGGTATAGCGTTGAGCATTATATTCGATCAATTAGTACAATAAAAAGAATAAAAACTAAATAAATCAACAATGGATAATTTTATTGATGTATAATATACAAATATTTTATGAAAAATGAAAGTGTCAATATATAAAGAAAATAAAAAGAATAATATGTTTGCTCGAGCATAAGAGACAATCAAAGAAAAGAAACATATGCAATAAACATCACCTGGCGCATCGCACTGATTAAGTGCACGTATATTTGTTATCTACAATAGGTAACAATAAATCTAGAAAGCTTAGACAATATAAAAATCAGACTATAAGGTTTACATTAAAATTATATAATCAAATCATTTCGTTGAAATGTACGATGAATATAAATGGATAGAATATGTAATACATCTATCGTTTTTTCTTTGTCATATATTGATAATGATATACTAGGTATTATTAATTTCCGATGATAAATGATTAACATCGATATGTGATTCTTTTTTGAAGGATTCTACAAAAACATTTCCTATTATGATTCGATCTAACTTTGTTTTTTAGTATTGAATATTTTTGATACTACCTAAAATTAGATGATCAACTTGATGATCCATAAGCTAATAATAGTAATAATAATAATGAAATACAGTAGTTATAGTCCAATTATAATGATTCAAGGACGTATTGAAAACAACAAACGTATTACGTTTGTTTTTTTTTCTATTGTAACATTACACAAGCTTTTCATTCAAAATACGCGTTAAAATTTATAAAAAAAAATTTTTTTTTTAATTTTTTCCTATGTCATTGTCCAAGTAAACATTTCGAATAGGTGGGCCGAAAATTTTGAGACAAAATATTTGTTTATTTTTTAGATCTATCGAAAATATTTTCAAGGAGTCAAAAGGTATAGGTTAGGATTAACATATTGTGCACGTGTCAAATATTGCTTTAGAGATTTTACTTTAGTTTTTGTTCGAGAGCGGTTAAAGAATTTTTTAAAAGATTCAAAACATAAGATTGAATGATGAATCAATAGACTTTTACTAAATCCTGTAAATTCTTTTTCGAATGTGGCAAAAATTATTGGAGTCCGTTCTTTGATTAAGAGAACACTTCTTTACAAAATACTACATTGAACTAAGCTGTAATCTTTACCTAACTGAAATTATAGGCACTTTGCCAAGAACTCTGTCCTATGGAAAATGTATTTTGGTCAAAAAGTCGATTTTTTTCAAAAATGAAAATTCAACAGAAACAAAAAATTTAAGTTACCTGTAGAAAAACAAGTGTTACCACATCTTCTGCTTTTCGAAGATTTTCCTCCTTTTTTTTCTGTCCTTTCTGCTATTTCAGATATTGTATCTATCATATTTTTAACCAACATATGTTATATTATACATTTTCATTTTTTTTTAAATGTAAAGGAAAATTCATATTAATATCTGGTGGCGTTTTTGTCTTATCATTATTTTAAAATAAGCATAATTGTTGTTTTTCACTAGTTATGAAAAAGTGATAATCTATATTCTTCGTTCTTACTCCGTTCTTTACTTATGTCTTTCTTTCTATAATATTTTATTGATAGATATTAATTCCATCCACACTCACACATCTAAGATTTATTGAAAGTTATTAAATCAAATGAAAAATACACGTTCAAAATAAAATGTATCCAATCATTCTATTTTTGTGTTTAACTAAGATTTTTCTTGATTTTGTACAATAAAGATTAGAAATTATTGTGAAGTTTTTTCATTACTTCATTAGTCAAACTCTAAAAGATTATTTGGTATTATAAATATACTTTCTGTTTTTTATAGCTTATTTTCTGGTCTTCGAACATCAAAAGGTGACAACACTGAGAAAAACTTCAGTAGCACATTTTGTAGGGTAGCTTCTGCTATACAAATTGTTCTATCATAAAAGGTTTGAGCATTTACTTTGGAGTCGCCATAGTGAAAGTACAAAAGCGTACGAAAAAATTTTCTGTCCAAACTGTTTTTTTGAACCTGGCAAAAGAACATTTCATGGACCTCAAGAAAATTTCTCAGCCTACTTTGGACTGAACAACAATCTAGTCATAAGTCATAGCTTTTGACTTTCGGGAAATAGTTTCAAGATAGTCAAGAATAAACAAACATTTTGTCTCGAAACTTGCAATCCATCTGTTATTTATATCATTCATGATGAATTATTTCAACAAATTTTTAGATCTTTATAGTTCTATTGTATCAAAAAGAACCTTATTTTCAATAATAAAATATTACATTCAATCAAATGTATTTTAACCAAAACATTACTTTGAAAATTTGCTTCGTCTAATTTTATACAATAAATTTTTAATTAACTATAATGAACTCAAATTCGAAACAAATCATTATTTTTTATTCTTTATTATTGGGTATACCAAAAGTTTTACAACATTCTTTCTTTGACAAATATTCAAGCCGACAAATAACACATCACTCAAATTTTCTTATAAAAAAAATGCAACATTTGATTCTCTAAAAACTTCTATGGATCTTTAACTTTTTATAAGGTGCGTTCTGTGACTCACTAAATGGTGTTTACATTCCAAACAGTTTTTGGTTATATATTCTTTTTATAAAAATGAATATTTAGTATCTTGTGCTAAATAGTTTTTGAAAGACTCTGTCAATTGTGTATATTTACGAAGTATTTTAAATGTACATCCTCGAGATTATATAAAATGTCATATTTTAAAAATAGCGAAGTTTCCTTCATTAATTACTCATTTTCCAACAGACATCCTAGGATTATCATTTATAGCCAGATCGAGTTCATTTTTCGTAGAGTTTTATGGAAAATTTCTTATGTGTCTTTACAGAAAAGCCAAAGTGATACTTTTTGTGCAATAGTTTTCATATCCACACATTCATATTCACAAATTCCTTGATAAATACTCATATGAGAGTAAAAGCTAGTGTAGATTTTGTATTCTTTTGATTTTAGCAATCATCATACTGTGACAGAATCCTTATTTCTCAGTCCTTTGACATTTCGACATCCTTAATGACATCTGAAACATTTTTCCTGTTTTTTCTTTCGATCAAATCGATCTATACCATTGTTTTAAATAAAAGTCCATAGAAAATCATCTGATAAGCAACTTTGGATGATTTATTATTTGCTCATGAAAGAATAGTGCAAAACTTTTGATACATCTGTTATAGCAAACGATCTAAAAAAAATTCTATGGCTTTTTCTCATATTTATACAAAAGTATTATTATTATGTTTTTTAATTATTTTAGATTGTGAAGTTTTTGCTTGTAAAAATTGATTAAAAAGATTAGCAACAAGATAACTCATTTTAATATTTGATGAATTAGCATGTAAGAGTTTAAGTAATAAATAACCATCTCTATAACAAGAAAAAGGAAAGATAAAGAGTCAAATTCATTTTTATTTTTCTTAGAAATTCATTCGTACATTTTGAAATAATTATAAGCAAATTCTTGACGAAGTATTCGATTATGAGTGTATAATTGTGTCATTTGATTATTTCTATTTTTCTCTAAAAAAAATAGAAAAATAGATTTTTGTTTAATTCTCATTATCAATTTATACATACGAAGATATGTTTCATATAAATTATATAAATTAAAAATATAATCATATCTATGTGAACTTAACCATAATCGTCGCCATAACCAAATATATATCAAATCAATTATATTTAAAATTATTAAAATATTAAACCATATGATTAATAAAGCAAATATTCGTGTAGTAAATAAATTAAATGGTAAAATACATTGTATTGTATACCAATTATTATTTTGACCTATTTTTACGAAAAAAAGAAAAAGATAAAAATTATTTATTAACAAGAAAAACAATAACATTCAATAATCATACCTAACATTCGAATCATAAAATCTAAATACTAAAAAAAAATAATTTCTATTTTTCTCTTGTATTATTAAACTTACCACACATTGTTTCAATTGGTAAATAAGCCTTAAGAAATTAACATATAATAATTTAAATAAAAAGATCTAAATAATCAAAATAAATAACTTACTGATGACCACATATTATATTTAACTGATAAAATTTTTAAAATTTGTTCAATATTAATTTTAAAATATTCTCCTATTAATAATTTATTTATAAGAATAATTTGACCAAATAAAATAATAATATAAGAAATTTTCATTAATAAATATATACTTATTACATAGATTCCTCCATTATTTTTCATTGAATATTTTTTAAATAATATAAAATGAATTGATCGAGATAATACGTCACCATCATTTAATTCTATTAATCGTTTTATATCAATACCTGATCTTGTTGATAATCCATGCCAAATAAGTAAATATGGCAAAGTAAAACTTACTGTCATACAAATTAAAATTATTGGAAGCCATGGATAAATTAAAAATGGATGAGATCTTGGAGATGATGGATTATCTAATCTAGTAATATTTTCTGGTACATAATAATTCCTATGACCTAACCAACAAATATCATATGCATAAGTTTTATGTGCACCAGTAAACTCTTTTGGTGTCCAACAAATAATACGTTCACCAACAATATATTGTTGAGAAGAAATTAATGTAACAAATGCTGATAGAAGTGCTACTGTATATAAACGATTAAGACGATCAATACCTGTATCATCACGATGCTTGAGATATTTATAAATTTCTGATATTAAACTCGAGGCCCATTCCATTGTTTCTTTTTTTTTTTGTAATACGTATATCTTTCTTTAATGATAAATGACGAATTACTCTTTAGAATTATGTTTATCCTTTTTCTTTCTGTACATTTCAATGTATTAAGTATGAAAAGCACGTAGTTTTTTTTTCGAGGTAATCATGATCATTAATAATGAATATTTTATCTTTATCTTTTTTAACGTTTTACATTTCATTTCTGACATAGCAAGTAGAAAATTGATTATAACGTGAGATGAAAATTATATTAGCTATTTAGAATAGACAGAATAAACTATTCTTTTTAAACGATGAAACAAATCGTCAAAAATATTAAATCAAATCAACATTAAGAACAAAAGATCATAGCAAATAATTGTTGCACTTGCTTATTAATCCTTGAAATGACAAAATATATCAAAATTAAATTTATTAATATAAAAACGAAATACTGTATTATAGACAGCAGTAAAGGAAATGAAAAAGTTCAGGTAAAAAAAACATGAAATAAATACTTTGAATTATGATACAAATATAATCCCTGCAATTCTTTCGTGATATAGAAAATCTAAACATATAATTATAAGTTTATTATTATATCATATATATAAACATAATTATTCATAACAAAAAAAATTTAAAATTAGAATCTATAGAACAATTTAAAAAAATGTTAATTTATTGATTAGAAATAAAAAGACTATCATTTCGACGAAATAGTTTCATTTGAGAAAATATTTTATTATATTTTCTTATATAATTAATATCAATTTTATTATTTTCAATACTATCACTAAGACGAATAGTACAATAAAATTTATTTAAATATTCAAATTGACTAATTAATATATTATACCAATTATCAATATTAAATGTATTATGTTGTTGTGTTCCTTCAATTGTAAATATTTTTAAATATGGAACATATAATAAAAGACAACAAAGTTCTTCTAAAACAATTGTTTGTTGTCTAAATTTAATAGATAAATGTGAAAGATTAGAATGATGATAAGATGATTGATTTATTATATCAGCAATACCCCAAAGATCTGTTGAAAGAAATTTTAAATTAGGTAAAGCTGATAATAATACAGGTAAATCTCGTAATGAACAACCACCAATTGAAAGACTATAAAGTGAAGGACAATAAAAATATGTTGTTGGTAATGCAAATATACGACCAGGTAATGAACAATGTTTTAATCGAGAAGAAAATCTATTTGTAAATAATTGTGTCCAAAGACGAACCGATGGTGGAGAATACCATGTTGATAATGGTTGATAAACAATTAATTGAGTAAGATAAGGAAAATATCGTTGAGGTTGATCAACAAGTTGACTTAATAATTCATCTGAAGGTTTTGGATATGGGCCAAGTGTTAATGAACGTACATTATTAAATTGGCGAATATCAATATCAGTATCATTACATATGTATATATGAGTAAAATAATTAGCAAAATAATCGATTTTAGTATAATTATTTTTTGCTATTCGTATACCAAGTTGTATTGATTGATCACATAATATTGAATTAAAATGATTATTTATATAAGAAAATGAAATAAATAAATCAATAGGAGATAAATAAGAAAATATATCAAGTAGAAGCTCATCAGGTAAATTTTCAAGACATGAAATCATTTTTATATTTATGTTGTAGAAGCATTGTATTCATGTGGATGCTGTTGTTGTTGTTGTTGTTGTTGTTGGGTGAGAACGAAACAAAATAACGGTGCAATTTTTTTTATTTATAGACGAGAGGAAAGAACTTTTATCGTTGTCGATTGCTAGTCTTTTTTCTTCAGTGTGTTTTTTTTTATCTTTAAAGAAAAAGAAAAAGAAAAAGCATGGTCAGAAAATAAATCAATCGGTGTGAAGTCTTGTGTGATCCTGATTTTTTTAGAATATTGATTATTTCTATGTCCTGGTGAATTTTTGAACAAAAAAAAATGACTATGATGAATTCGTCCTTGATTTGTTTGTGACATGGGATAAACACAACAAGAGCGGCAGTTGAATATGAGGGCGGTAGAGGAACAGGTTCGAGATATGTCAAGAAAACGTTAATACAACTATCATTTTGAAATGCTTTTGCTTTTTTTGTATATTCTGCAATAATATACAGATTTTTCTCTTGCAATGATTCAGCAACTAAGTGATCGGAAGAGATTAAAAGTAATTTTATTGTATCTCGATTTAATCGCTATGTTGATTGTTATTTTGATACCAGAATGGTTTTTTTGTTCTGTTGATTTCATTATATTGCTGTTTATTAAATCTATTTATTTTTTGTTTATATATTGCTAAATAAACCATCTTAAAAAGATTAAATTATTAATATATATATATATAGATATATGTTGGCGTCCAAAATGAGATCTCGGAGCCGAGATGAGATGCATCCAATATCGGACTGAGAGGTAAATTAATGTTAAAACTCGAACTAGCATATAGATTGGAGGAGCTACGGGGACTTATTTTTTTTGGGATTTATTAGATTTTTTCAAAGTTTCGGAATATTTTTTTTTTCTATGACATATATTATGAAAGTTTTATGTCATTTATAAGATTTATCTAAAATAATTGTATTATAGGAATTGTCATACAAACTCCTTAACATCAAATAATTCCTCACCGGAACTATTGGAGATATTATCTCTGTCAGCATTTTCCTACACGCAGCCCTCTAACAGGAATTGATTCTTCAGCGGATGCATTCTAAAAATAACAGGATCGATTTATATTAATAATTACTGTTCTCAAGTTTTTATAACTAATTAATAACACCAGATGATTTAATGGTTAGAGCAATGGCTTTTCAGTTCATACATTTCAATTTCAAATCCTTATTTGATCCATTCTTTTTTTTTTGTTATTCAACACTTTCTTTTGATTAATATATCATAAAAAGATTCCAATTAATAATCCTATCATTAATATATGGATAGAATAGAGATGATACTGAATGAGTTTTTATGCATTAATGATTATCTTGATCCATTATAGTTTTTCATAATTTGTATAAAATTCATCATATTTCTTTGATAATTGTATCAACAAATAAGAAATTTCTTTTCTGACTTCAGTAATAATTAAATAAGACAGTCTTCTCTGATTTCAGCAATAATTAAATAAGACGTAGTCTTCTCTGCAAAAGTCAGAAAAAAAACATTTATTAAGTTGAATAGCTGTCAATAGTGAAAGGAAGTAGTCAAAAAGATGATAATATAAGAAAACTACTTGCGACTCAGTGTCGTGGAAAAGTCTATTTAATATATAATAAATTAGTTTGTAATCTGAATTCGTAATAATGATTGAACACGCAATAACATTACAAGAATAATGAATCAGTTCAATATCGTAGTTCATATCAATCCTTTACTAAAAGTGGATATCCAAATCGAGTCAGTTATTCAGTAAACTGGGACTGATGTATGTACCTAATTGAGTGAGAGTAATGACGTTTCAATTAATACAATCATCAGTTGATCCATTAAGTTTGGATCCGTATATTCATGGAAAATTTTTGTATACAAATAATGTCCTTCATTGAATATTTTGCTGGATGTGAATAAACATTAAATAAAAATTTTGCATCAAGACTAAAATCTTTTTTATAATCCGGTTTCGATCGAGTAGTATTTTTTAACTTTTGAATGACATATTTTGATCAATAAAAAACATTATTTCTTTTATTCCATTGAGAAAACATTCGAACAAAATACGTCCAGACCGAGTACATCCGAACCGGACATACTTAAGGATTTTTTCTTTCTTCTTTTATCCATTGAGAAAATCACGTCATTCGAAAGTTAAAACACTTCTCTATCAAACTCAGATTATAAAAAGGATCTTAGTCTCACTAGAAAACTATCCGTAACCGTTCGAAATCTTTACTTAATTTATCTATTAATAATTCTATTAATTAAGATGCCATTATTTCCTCGTAGTTCATTAAGAAGAATCAGAATCCAATATCGATAAACTTTTAACATCAATTCATTCTCAATTCGATCATTGAACCCATCCCATCTCGGATGCGAGATTCATCTAGATCAATTCGAAATTGGATGGAATCTTAGGTTTGCATGGTAACATATATTCTTAAGTTGGAACATAAAAGAATATGTTTGTCTATTAATATACAATAACTAGGTTTTTTTTATTTTATTAATATTTTTCATAATGTCAAACATTCGGCTTTCTTTTTTTTAAAATCGATATATTTATCCAGGGCCCACGGAAAGAGGTAGACGTTCAATAACACGTAGACATTCATATTGCAAACGAAATTGTTCCAATTCTTCTTGCATTATTTTACTTTCTTCAATTGGTAGTTTAAGTAGTTTAGCCAAATTAAGCCATATTATTAATTCTTGTTGTCGTTCTAACCATACTGCATAATCATGAATATAGCAATGTGAAGCCAATCGTTTAAATTCAGAGGATGTTGGTAATAATGATGTAGATTGTTTGGATTCTAAAGTCCTTGCTTTAACTGATGATAAAATTAAAACGACGAAAAGATAGAAGAACAAGGAAATAGCATTATTAATATTTAAGATCATCGTCTTGTTTTATACTTAAAATCTTGTTATGTGTTAGTTCTTCACGTCGTTTATTCAAATGTATATGTCTGACTGATCAAACTAAGTATGAGAAGAAGAAGGAGAAAAAAGAAGGAAAACAAAATGATTTACAACGAATTAACATCATTGAGAAACATGCCAGGATGTATCTGACAGTAACGATGTCGATCGTAAATGAGCCATCTGCACGACATTAAGAATGTTAATGATTGTACCTTTGAAGAGCACTAATAAGCTCAATGTATTTTAATCTTGTTTTAACTTTTTATTCTTAGTTTTCTTCAATTAATTATTAGAAATATGAATATCGACGAGTTCAAGAATTAAACAAAAAAAGAGATGTTCATTACCAGAATCGTGTGATCAATAGATAATTAAGAGTTGCATATCAGTTTCTCACAAAGATTCAATCAGTTTAAAAAAAAAACTAAAATGTATTCTATTAGGAAAAATGACAAAAAAAAAGCAAATTTGTGGTTATTACTTCATCTATAATTTTTTACTTCAGAAGACTTTGCGTATTGATTATATTATAATCTGCGTAATTATATCTTTGATACGTATGGCTTAATGCTCAATATTTGGTTTTAAACTTTGCTTAAGACTCTGGAGGATTAATTTATTTCACGATGAAGACCTATATAGAGTGAATCATAAATATCTTTACAATAAAAAATGTGAATATCTCAAGGAAGAAAAAGCAAAAATTTCATACTTCATCGATACTTCAGCATATTCCAAGAGTATGTCAAATCTATATTCTAGAATTTCTTAGCTATTTCAAGTCTACTATTAATGTCTGTCATAAACATATTAGTTTGAGTCCATTTTATCTAAGTTTGTTTAGCCTTGAACAGACTTAGATAAAATGGACTCAAACTAATATGTTCGTGATAGACGTTAATAGTAGGCTTGAAATAGTTAAGAAATTCTAGAGTATAGCTTTGACATATCCTTGGAATACAATGAAATACAAAATTTTTGCTTTTTTCTCTCTTGGAATATATCCATTCTACTCGAAGGTATTGGATTGATTTTTTTTTATTAATAATAGAGGAATGTCCAAAGTATTTTTCTTTTCCCAAAGAAAATCGTTAATAAACACTGCTTTCTGTTTTCGACATTCGCTTCAATACGATAATGTAACGTTTTATATTGATATAAAATAACATAAATAGATTTATTTATGCGTGCAGTCTTTTCTGATGCATATACTCGATCGCGTTTTTTCGTCTTGAATATAGATTATCTTGACTTTTCTCATTGGTATGCAATGTCAAAATCATAAAAATATTCATGAACTATTCTGTATAAATTTTGCACACTCTTCTACTATTAAATTTAAAAAAATTAGCCCAATATCTTCGGGTAGAGTGAAGATAATTAAAGGTTTTATTATAAAGATGTTTATGGGCAATTCTGTTCAAGTTTTTTGCAAAATCAGCATTATAGTTACAGAGGAAAAAGACAATTATCTAGTAAAATGTATGAATTGCTGTAATATCAATGAAGACATAAACAAACTTAAAAGTAAACAAAACAGACTCAACTATATTAAGCATACAAAATGAACTAAATAAAAATTTACGAAAGTCTGATAGTTTTCTTTCTCCCTGATTAAATAGCAATTAGTATACTTTTTCCTAACAACAAGATACATATAAACATTTGAACAAACAGATTATAAATGATAACATCAAACCGAATTGAAGTCAAATTCATTCGTTTTTTTCTTCATCATATTCAAAATAAATCTTCAAATAAGACTTGTTCTAATTGTTGATTATAATAACCATTATTTTCAATGATATGGTGATCGTAAAAATCGATGACAATTTACATTATTAGAAAATTCATAACAGCTACACTCTGTTTCTCTTTTTATATTGGTGTAGTTTTAATGTTGAATTGTTATGAAAGTGTTTTTCTAGACAATTATTGTCTACGTGTATTAATGATAATCTGCCATTTATATTGTAATTATTTTTTTCTGAATTGATAACTATGTCATCTTTATGTGAAATAGTTTGATTAGTACTTTTTTGATAATTATATGATTGCATGTTATTATTTATTGGAGACATTGGTACATCATTTATAGCAATATCAATTGAACGTTGAACAACTGTTGCTAGACGTCGTTGAGTACGATATGAACGACAACATCGTGAAGGTCCTGTTAGTATTCGCATGAAACCATTTTGTTGAGAATCTTTCTTTTTATTGATTAATGCTTGAAATGCTTCTTTGGTAAGATCTTGTTCTAAAGCAGCCATTGCTTCTCTCATATGTAAATGATTGACATTGATTCTATTCTGATCATTTGCATTCATATGAGGAATGTTGTTCGATGCTAAGTCATTGAAAGATCTCGTATTTAAGTGTTTGTTTGGTAATTTTTTCATCAATCTATATATTCAAAAAAAAAGAGATGTTTTACCTGGATCACATGAAGGGAACAAATTGATTTCAAATAACAGAAATTAGCAGTAATTATCAGAAATTATTATAGCTAAAAGTGTATTCTTTTATATGAACTATGGAATGTATTATTGAAGAGTATTAAGAACAACCCATAAGAAATTTTGAGAACTTTAGTGTTCTCGAGTAAATTTCAAAGACTTTTCTTCAATTGACTATAGATTTCTATTTCATTCTGATAGATGATTTACAAAGCTATGCAACCAGTTTTATACATGAGCGATACGTAATCGGATAGCGACCAATAGCCACTCAGTTTTTTTTGTAAATGGCAATGCTATTTTAAGTACAAGGTGTCCGGAAAGTCATTTAACAAAAAGAAAATTCTATATCTCCATTATGGTTTGATTGGACGAACTGGTTTTTGTATTGCTGGTAGAGGATACTTTCAAGTTTTTATTCATAAATACGAAGTTCTTAAATACTCCTATAAAGCTGTACTTTCAGGTTCAATACATAATAAAGTATTTTTTCGAGTTACCAGAAAACAATATGTAGGACATTTTCTTGAATTTTGTTTCACTATTGTGAGCTTTAAGTCGCCGAGGCTTATTTCTCTTGCTGCATAATGCTTTTCTTAACACATCTGAAAAATCCAGAGTGATTGGTACATCCCTTATGAAAAATTTTGATGAAAGATAAACTGAGTAGACCGACAAGATTTTGAGGTTTTTTTTATGGACACTAAACTTGAGATCAACGTGTATGTGCGTGACAATCTTTTCGAAATTTAACTTTTAATTTGGATAATCTTGATTGAATTTAAACATGAATCAAGTTCAACTATTATACTTTTGCAGAATTATTGAATTTAAAGAGTGATGGAAGCTTTTTGATAGGATCATTAATTAAGAAACGTAATTACTTCATTAAGGATAATGAAGAAAGTCTTCATATGGCGTTTCAATAGCAAATACATCTTTGTCTGTTCCATTAACTAGAAATTTTGGTAGTTCTATATATTTATCAATTCAAAATTAGGCTAATATTTTAAAGGCTGCAAATTATTCCAAAAATATCTAATTCATTTACTTTAATAATCAACAAAGTTTTCAACTGAATGATAGTAATTATGACATAAAGTCTCAATCTTATTCTCGTCAAAACATTCATAAACTATCAATGTAATACCAAATTAGTCATGAACGAAGGAATATTAAGTTTAATGGAAGCTATTTCTAGATAGCTATTATAACTTATGGTACACCAAAGACAACGGACCATAGATCCAATTGTCTGAATATTACATTTAGAGATGAGAAGCTATGCGAAGTATGTGAGTAGTTGATTTATTTATGAATATTATCTGAGATATTTGGTGCTGATTATTTGCTGAGATCGAGTATGTTCTTTTCTAACGTTCTTTGTCGGCATATATTCATGTAGATTCTCACCGGTAAATAAGGACATTTTTGTCAATTTTTTATTTACTCATCTCTTATAGTGAATGACAATAACATTAATTGATACGTGGGAAGTTATAAAAAAATTTGCATGTCAAGAAGAAATGAACGACGTTGAAGCAAGATCATATTAACCCTCAGGATTGGTGCTTTGTCGTCGATATTGACATTGAGTATTAATTTTAGGTTATCAATATGAATACATGTCATTCTCAATTTCAGAAAATTCTGATATTTTAAAAATGTCTATTATTATAAATGAATAGATAGTTTAGATATGCACCCAGATAATATAACCATAAAATGGTTTTTCCGATTATTTGTTGACAATAACTTAATGAAGGTAGTAAGACTTTTGTTTCAGTGTGATCTGGAACGTATTGAAGCATAAACAATTTCGATAAGAATCGTATGTCAATCAAACTAATCAAATGGAATCAATGAAGAGTTGAAGAAAATTATAGTGGATTATTTTTCGACTTTTAAACCAACTAAATATCATGATATTTATCAAAGACTATTTTCGAACGAAGCATCAGTATTTATCATCATCTAATTACAATTCTCTATCGAAAATCATAGACATAGTTTTGTATTTCTCGCATCATTGACTTCTATAGTAAAATTGCGTTTAACTCTAGATTATGTGCATTATGTAGGTTCTAATGAGCTATAAATATCCTGAAAAAAGTTTGACCTATTGGTTTACCGTTACCGAGGTATTGCATTTTTACCATATATTTTACTAGAATACTGTGCCCTCCCCCCTCCCCACAAGAGTACCAACGAAACTGAGTTTCAAATTGAACCTTTGCATAGAGACAGATCTGAACGAAACTAGTTTATTGTAAAAAGTTTCAAATCTTTTGATTGGTCCTATCTTAAGAAACAGTTGTGATAAATGCATGTTTTTCACGCTGCTCATATACAACGGTAAATTTCGATGTTCTAATTTCAGAATAGACGCAATCAAAAAATCTGAAACTTTCACAATAAACAATTCTCGTTAAGGCCTGTGTCTATTCAAAGCTTTAAGTCGAACTTCAAAATTTAGTTTTCTTGGTGTTTCTGAAAGGAACCATCGCATTAAATACGATAAAAATGAAACGTACGATAATATCTTCAACGTGTGTACAGATAACAGCGGCGGATCTAGAATTTTTTTGATAAGGGGCGATTCGATAGACATGGGGCGATTTTGATCAAAAAGCAAGTTTTGAAGTTTATTAGTAGTAGAATGCGCTCTACTTTTAAGACTTTTCTGCTGGGAAAGTCCAAAAATTTTTGTTTCGAATGGGGGCGATCGCCCCAAGCGCCCCCCCCCCTAAATCCGCCACTGACAGATAAGTACGATAGTAATTAAGAATAGAACAATGATCATCACACTTACAATAATGTCAGTAAATCTGTCTATTGAAGACTGTAGCTAGTCAATAATATAAATAAGTTCTTGAATCGAATCTACTTCAGAAGTAAACAACTGGTTGGCTTTTTCAAAAAAAAAGGAAAAGTGTATTGACTGAAATTCATTTGATATTGGTTATGGGTGCATAGCTTAGTTCATATCGTTATCTTTATTTTTTTTTAAATAAATTAGAAAGGGCTAAAAGACGTCGAGAACAGATAACAATGAAATCTATAAAACAACACACAGAAAATTGGAACCGTTGATAAATTCTAAAAATCAGTTTGTTCCCTCTTGCTGAATGATAAGTATGTGTCTAATTCAGTTATTTGTTTTCATAAAGCATTTAACCTACTTTTCCAGCCAATTATTTCGTTTTCCCATTTTTTCTATTGATGTATGTTGCACTTGACTGTTATATTGACTATTATCAGACGGTGATCTTCGTAAAGAGTTTGGTGTCAATGATTGTGTGTGCAATTTTTGTTGTTCAATATCAATAGTAGAATTTGTTGGTGATTGAATTGTAGAGGTAGTCTGTTTTCTTGAAGATCTTTTATCCGTTCGGTGTGAACGGTAAGATGGTGAAAGATATTGATTGCTCTTCAAATTAATTGCACTTGTAATATGATCATTGCCAGGATGATGAATACTAATATTTGGAGTTGAAAAATTCATTGTTGACTTATCTTGATCACTACTATTTGTTATTTTATTATGTATTGCATGTTGTAATTCTATATAAAAAGAAAACAAACAAATATTTCGATCATTTTTATTATTCTAATGATGCATTCGATTATGATATCTGACAACGTTTTTTGCAACATAGAAGACTATGTTGCAAACTACTAATGCTTGGTTATTCAGAGATATGTGGTGTTGAAGTTAGTGAAAGTGCAGGAATACTCGTCACTATTGATACTCGACCAGGATGATTGTTTAGACTCGAATTGAATACTATCGATATATGTGTCGATGTAAAACATTCGTTTTCTTACCTTTCCTACCGTTGTTATCGACGTTTTCAAAGTCATTTTCATTTAATTTTGATGAGAATTGTACATTTCGAGTAGGTGAAAATTGACTTGAACCTTTAACCATTCGATTACTATCAACAGATAAGTTTGTCGAGTGAAATGAAGAATCTTTCGATAATGAACGTTTATTTGTAAATTTTCTGTTGGTAATACGTTGTAGAAATGAAGGACTTCTTGATTTTGATTTTTTACTACTAGATGTTGACACTACATCTTGTTGAATATCTGAAAAAAATTAGATTTAATTTTCTTTTCATAAAAAATTTGTTATGCTTCTCGAAAGTAAAAACAGAAAAGAATTTATTCAATTACTTGATTCTAATTGACTACTTTTTGGTTTGATTTGTTCTCGTATATTGCTATCAGTTGTTTCCTTAAAAACAAAATCTGGTACATGTTTTTTTACAGTATCTGTTAAATATTGAAGAATTTGATGCGCATCATTTGATGATGGTGTTTGATAAAGATCAATTTTCTGTCGAATACGTTGAATTAATTGACTCTCAGCACACAATGATGAATCTATGATATTCATACCATTATAATTATTAATATCGGAACAAAAAGCAGTAGTAGTATTCGATGTTTGTTGACCATTATATTCAACATTAGTAGGTACATATGGAATAATTGTTGAATAACAAGTTGGTAATGGAATACACCATTGTTGGTTCGATCCAGTAGATCGTACCGTATCCAATGGATTGGAACATATTTTCATGGATAATATTCATTCTGTTGTTGGTGATGACCAATACCACCACCACCAAGCATATTTATGAGAGCATATAATCTTATTGATTAAAAGAACAAAATAAAATATTAAAAAGAAAAGGATGTATTTAACATTTAATTATAAATATAAAAGTATCAAAGCGCCTTCTTTTACTACAATATCATTATTCATTATTATTATTATTTTTTCGGCCATTTAATTTATATATATAGACCACTGAATAGAATTAATTTCTTACAAAACTCAGACTTGTTTTTATTGAATTATTTCAATTGTTATTTATTTTCATTCATCTGAATAAGAGCATAACTCAAAAACAAAACACACACACTGATATATAATGTTAAACATCTGAGAGAATAAAGAAGAAACATACAATTAATCTAGAATAATACAGTTAAACAATGAAAAAAAAAAAATTATTTTTGTCCACGACGTTGTTTATGCTGACCACCACCTTGTTGCCAATTGCCACCACCTATCCATAAAATAAATACGTAAATAAGAAAATATAAATTCAAACTAACCTCCAGACCGTTGATTTCCACCACCACCATGATGAAAACTACCGCCACCCTATAAAGAATATTTTATTGTATTTATTTTATTTCATTTTCAAAAAAAAAACTTACAGTATTTTGTCCACGACGATTATTTCCTCGTGTACCACTTCCACTCCAATGTCCAACATTAGTATTATTCATATGCTGTTGATTATTTGCATGTTGATGTTGACTGGGAATAAAAGGTGGTGCATTATTATTCATTGTCAATATTGGTATTGATGAAGGTGTAACTGATTGATTATTGGTAATGTTTGAATTTGGTACAAATGGAGTTGCATTAGGTAACATTGTTGAAATTAATTTACTTAATGGATTTACTGCTGGTAATGTTGATACTGGTACTTCAACAATAGTTGATTCAATTTCGGATTGATTTGATATAGATTTAGGTGATACAATTGATTTTGATTGTTCATTAATAGATATATTTAATGTTGATGGTGATATCTAAATTATAATAGATGAAATGAAACTATTCAAAAATTGAATCATTGAAAATTGACATACAATTTTTGCTTGATTTAATTCTTCACTTGTTATTGAATTAATATCAATAGTAATTGGAATAATTGTTTCTGATGATGTTAAAATATTTGATTCGATATTTGTTTGGTCTAAATCTTCTCGTTTTTCAAATGTAGATATTAATGGAGATTGGTGTTCATCAGATATAATAGATTTATTTTCATCTATATCAACTTGAGATATTATATTCATCGGTATGAATGGTAATGTTTGATTTATTAGACCTATAGGAAATAAAAAATATTGAAATTTTATTACGATCCTGATCTTTATAATATTGAGCTGATATTTTGGATGCATGAGTGCGATAATAAACGTTGATCGCAAGTACCAGCCTGCTTTTCATGGGTGTACTGAAGTTATAATTCACACATCATCTTTTTCTTCTGATCACCTTATCTCAACCATGTTAGCAGAAATATTTTTGTCTAGCTTTCCCCCCCCCCCCCCCCCCCTTTTTGACAGACCACTGTCATAGCTATTTCTAGTTCGAATTTCGTTGTAAATCACTGTAAAATAATTGAGATGTTGTTTTCTTGTTAGGAGTGTTTATTGAATAGCATATTTTAGTTTTTAATAAAATGGATCATGTCCATGATGACTTCGATCAATTCATTTGAAAACTTTAGTAGAAAGTTCTTATGAGATGACAAGCCTGCGCTGAAAGTCTTACGGTCGTAGAACTGAAAGAAGTCGAGTTAACGCTACGACATGGGTTTACCATCTCAGAGCTTGCTAATTACTAAAGTGTTAACAAGGTACCGCAGGCTTTGATGATATCAAAGAAGATATATAGGACTGCATTTAGCGCTAGAAAATAACAACAGTAGCTTATGGAATAGTAAAATGATCAAAAGAAAACTTTTTGAGTGGATATCTCCTCTGAACATGCTTTTCACAAGAGAAAGAAGATGTACGAATCATAACTCCAGTACGTGTGAACTGATGGAGAGCGGATTTATGGTTACCAATCAGGAATTATTGTCGCACATATGCACTCAAAATATCAGTTCAATATCATAAAGATCAGTGGCACTTCCTGTGAAAGTAACTAATTTTGTTCAGGACTGTAAAATTCCTAATCATATACTTACCTTCTGTATGAGATATATCAATAGGTATTTCATCGATTGTTTCATTATGTTTGATAACATCGGTCGGTGGTTTTGATTCTTGATTTGTTGTTGTTAGATCTGTTTCACTTATTAATCGACTATTACGTCCAGATATATATTGAATAGTTTGTGATTGATCATTGTCAGTATCATAATCGTTTTGAAATACTTTTTCATTAACTGAATCTAAAGTAAGATATTGTTGATTAGTTGTTGTTGTTGATATATGTGCTGTTTCATATGATGTTTCACTTGTAGAATTTTGACGAGTGCGAGATTTAACAAGTAGAACTGTTGATGCTGGTTCGGATTTATTAATTGGAGGAATCGTTGAATAATTAATAGGTGAAAAATAATCAATTTTATTTGACATGTTGATTAATTGTCGAAGACCTATTTGTTGATCTGAACCTTCAAGTAATTGACTATATTTATTAACTTCATCTGCAATTGTTGATTGACGAATTAATGAACTATTATTAAGAAGATTTTCCTAAATAAAATTTCGTTAGCACAAATGTCAAAAACAATATTGTTGTTGTTAAACACAAGGAGATTGTTTTATTTTATCTACTTTGCGATATATTTCTTCACCACCTTTTTACTTCAACCTCGAACAATCCAATAAGTAAATAGTTCATTTATTGCAACAATACGTTATTAATATACAGTCTTTGATTCTATATCATCAATATCTGTTACAGTCCGTGATCCTATATCAATCATATCTGCATAGCATGAATTTCACAGTACTGACTTTTGATAATTGTCTAAAGTTTTATAATAGGTTGTGAGTATGAGTGAAATGAATACTCACACCCACTAGAGTCCATCGCATTGGTCCTGGACCTGACAGGCTCTAAGAGTCACATATTCACACTCGATTTAGCGAATTTACGACTTAACGTAGGCTTTTGGCCATTGTCAAAAATTGTGTTTTTATTGAACTTTTGACAGCTGCTCAAAACCAACTGCAAAATTCGTGTTTCCTAGGTGTTTGTGACAGTCTGTCATAATCTGTAAGAAAAGTGGGGAGGGAGGCAAGTTTCTACCCATATACTTCAATACTATTTTGAGATTGTATTTCACAAAAATAATATCATATTTAAAAATATTTGTTAAAATTAATTCTTTAACTTACATATTCTCGAACAGATAAACTTAAATTATTTATTTCATGATCATATTTTTCATTCATATCGTTTTGTCGTTTAGTTTCTCGTTGAAAATTTATTTCTAATTGTTTATATTGTTCTTGTATTAAAGTTAATTTTTGACGTAATAATAATCGATTATCATTTAAAGAATTTAATTCATTAGATAAATGATGTCGTTCAATGTAATCTCGATTCGTTTCAATTAAATTTTCATCAATACGTTTTATATGTCGATTATATTCATATAAATCTTAAAAATATAAAACAAAATTTAAAAAAGTTAACAAAAAAAAAAACTCTGAAATATACATTTTCGATGAAGTTCTTCACGCATTTCATTATCTTTCATTTTATATTCTTCACGAATTTCATTTAACATTTGTGTTAAAATATTTTTTTCATTTCCATCTAAACGAAAATGTGTTGTTAAATCATATAAAATATTATCATTTTGAATTTCAATTGCCTAAAAGCAAAAAAATCATAAAAAAAGAAAAAAAAAACCAATTTGTATAAATCAAACTTGAGTATCAGCTTCATGTGCTTGTATTGTTAATTGTTTTTGTATTTTTAAATCATCAACTTCTAATTGTATACGTTGATGTATATCACGTTGACGAGTTATTTCATCGAGAATTGATGATTTAAATAATTGACAGTAGGACATTTGTCTTCGACAATGATTACTATCATCATTTAAATTTTCATAATCAGAACGTAATTTTTCTGTTTTAGACTAAAATTAAAAAGAAATATTGCATATGCTATGAAAATTTTAAATATAACTTTTATAGTTAAGAAAGAAAACAAATGATAGAAAATTGGATTTTTTTTTTGTTATATTAAATAAGAACAAGTTTTTAGTTCTATCGAAGTCTTCTGAACATTTAGTATTTTATGTAAAAATCTACAGAATTATCTCACGTTCTGAGATGTAGTATATTCAATCGAACTGGAACTTTTATTAGAAGTATTAGAAGGTATTTTAGATACCTACCTTTCCTTTTTCTTTGACAAACATCTTGTATTGCTGATTTTTGCTAGATCTTACAAAAAAACAAAGTGCTATGTGAAAAACTATGCATTTTGTTTTTAGGATGCATGCTTTTTTGAATTTTTTTACCCGAAGAAAAGAAGATAAAACAAAATTCAACTATTCGAGAAACACAAGGAAGGACCATCACGAGTCCTTGCGATTGACATAAGGAAAGATCCGAGAATTTCGAGCCTATGGCAACTTTTACTCGATTCATCGAGATTTATCTATACGGAAAGTTATCATTATATGCTGATGAGTCGTTCTTCAAAAGTACTTGAAAGGATACGAGGTACTTAAGCTAAGGCGAACCTTTATAATGAATTTAATTAATGAAAGAATAATATTCAAATGATCATTTATTTTTATTCGTTCTTTAGTCTCACTTCAGGTCGATTTAAACATCACTATTCAATTAGTCTGAGTTGTCAAAACATATTTTTTCCGATCCTGTGAAGCTCTACAGGAATAATTATGAAAATTTTTTTTTCCGAAGTCAATGTAAGAGTTACATCAGTTTATACAACCGAGCATTTTTATTCTTATATAGTAACGAATGTATTCTCTAAATGTTCAGTAATAAACAAAAATACACCACTTTCTAAATCCATAGATAAGTTTCAAGCAAAAAAAAAACATCGAACAAACATTCTCAATGACAAGTAGCACAAAGAATAAGTATAAAGGGTGTTCCATAAATTTTGGGCTTCAACGAAAATTATTTTATATATTAATAAAGAGTGATATCCTACCTAACCATATCTCTATGAGTTTCAAGTACATAGGGCAAAATTTTAAATGGCTAAAATTTGAATTTAATTTAAAAATAACACATACTTGTAAATCAATAGATTGTTGTTGTAAATCGATAATTTGTTTTCTATATAATTCATGTTCATGTTGAAGAAAATTTTTTTTATTTTTATATTCTTCAACTTGTTTTTCAATATCATTAATAAATTCATTTTCTAATTCAATATCTTTTTTTTCTCGATTTAATTTTTCTTGTTGATATTCATGAAATTCTTGTTTAAGTAAATCTAATTTATTTTTTATACGTTCTTGTGCATTTTTAATATTTTCACAATATATATTTAAACAATTATTATATGTTTCAAATAAATGAATACGTTCAATATATGATAAGAATTGATCATTTAATTTTCTTAATTGTAATTTTTCATTTGATACTGAATTATGATGATGATGATCAATAGTTCGATTAATTGATGGTGATATATAAAAATTAATAGATGATAATGAACCTGGTGATGCAATACGAGTTTGAATTTGAGAACGATATGGTGATGTTTTAGCTAAAAATTTTATTGATTAACAATTTTAAAAAAAAAGTGAACTTAATTTCACAATAAATTATTACTTACGTGAAATAGTTATTATTGATTCAGTCATTTCTTTTTGTTAGTAAATAAAAACGATTACTGTTACTTAACAAACGATGATTCTGAAATGAATAAGTGAACTAATCGTTTCGGTCGGTCGTTTGATTTTTTTTTTTGTTTGTATATATAATGATATCACGTGGATTGGATGAATATCGAGAAGATTGTTTATTATTGTTGTTTTTTGAATCTGACGGATATTTTGACGATGAATAAAATTTGATAAACGCTTTTTCTTTTGTAATAAATCGATTTTTGATATGTGAAAAAGAAGTTAATTATCGAATGAATCATTCATTGACAAGGATCTGTGTGTCTGTGTAAGTGAAAATTTTAATTGGTTACGATATTCATGTGAGAGAAATTATTATTAAAATAAATCATTGAACTATTTTATTTAAAATGAATTCTTGAATAATATATACTTATCCATTATTTCATTCTTTAGATACTTGTATTAGTTATTGTGGGACATGAGAAATTTAATAAACATCAAGTCAGATAAAGCGAATCTACCCTTTTAATTATTAATTAGTCAAAGATGTATCGTCGGATTTAATTGCTTTATTTATCGATAGATTTCGAAAGCAACAAAACTATATGTGTACACATCGAGTTCATTTCTTTTATCATAGACACAGCTCATTAAGGACTATAAGATGCACAAAGTCCCGACTCAAAAGCGCTCCTGCACCTAGAAATGTTCCCTTGTAAGTGAATAACAAGAGGGAATAAACTGATTTTTACATTAGAAATCATTAAAACTCGCTGAAAGTCACTAGAAATCGTTATGATGCATTAAGAATACAAATCAGGATTAGAAGTGGTTAAAAATTATCTGAAATCATCAGAAGCCATTAGAAACCATGAGAAATCAATGTAAATCGCTATAAATCATAGAAAATCTCCAGCAATTAGATTAAATATAAAGCTCTGATTTCTAATGATTTCTCATGATTTTCGTTCATTTCTAAGCATTTCTAATGGTTCCTATTAGTTGGTGGTGAACAAATAAAAACTGATTTCCAATGATAGAAATCACTTGAAAACAGTTTATTCTCCCTTGGTGAACTATTGAAACTTGGATGATTCATTAATATGGAGTTATAGAAATAAATGTATTATTAAAAGCCAAAAGCATCAATCAGCGTGATCTAGCCTACAGTCCACTTTGTGATTTTTAGCCTGGCCTGTTGTCAACTCTGATTCGTCCTTTTCATTCTCCTGAATCAAATTTGTTCCTCTATTTTAACGACGAATCACCTAATTGTGCACTTTTAATTCTTTAAGGTAATTTTCGAATACGGAACGATTTACTTTGGTAATATCATTGTATTCAGTAGTGCATTTTTGTACATTAAGCTTGATTTTGATAATCATTATGTCATTTCTGGAACGTTCACTCTCAGAGTAAGTCAACAGAATTTTTTGATAGTTATTTTACAAACCACCGAAACACATCTTTTGAAAAAATTTCAAGATGTTACCATTTGTGTAGGGAAAGATATATACAAAATAAACTGTGTTAATAATACTTTTTGGGACATTCGATATAAATTCAGAATGAGATTCATAAAATTTTCTCAAATATGAGGTCTCTTCTAGCATTCCTGTTCATTTTTTAGATGAGACTTGAGCCTCTCCAATCCTAATGACTTTGCCACCTATGACGCTATCTAACATCTGGTTGAACATAATCCTATTCAAAAAGTTTTCGTTTACTAAATATAAGCTCAGAATGAGATCTGTAAAATTTTTCCAAATATCTGAACCTTCTCAGATCTAATGGCTCTACCGCCTAGGATCTGATCTTCGGCGTAGAGACGATCATACTTTGTGAACCAAGTCTTCCGGACATAATACGGCATATAAGTGGACTTTGTTAGACCGTTTACAGCCGACAAGACGCCGTAATCGAGCCGTATACGAGCATTGGAAAAAAGCATCTGAGTGATACAAATAAGATCGATTTTTGCAATAATCTTCATTTTGGAAAAAAATACGATAGAATATGAAATATTTTTCATCAAAGATAAATTTGAATTCTCGCATTGTTCTCAGCCAATACACTAAAACAAAATGTGTCGTGATCTATCGGCTAATCATTTATTCACTATTATATTTTGCGCATACAACGACATATAACTAAAGAGATGACACAAACTAAACTTATGCATTTTCGTATATATTTTTTTCCTGGATTATTTTTCGATTAACATTTAATCGGAATGAAATCGACTCTAGGCGACTGTATCTTAGGATCTTAGTGTCTTGTATTCCAAGAGTAGGTACTAATAATTCAATTTAAACCAAATTAAACTTCTCCTCATAATAGAAGACCTTGAATCTTCCATCTTGTCCAAGTATACAAATATTTCATGGTATCTTCTATTGTATCTGATATATTTTCATAATTTTTAAATACAAGGTTTTTTCAAAAAATCAAAACAATTTTAAGGATTAGGGAAGCGTTTTTTAGGGTTTTAAAAGCCTAGAAATAATGTTGACTTCAATTTAAAAGAATTTTTCAATTGAAGACTCTACAAACTAGGCATATTTTGATGTAAATATACTAATTAAAGTTTCAGTTTGGAAAGAAATTAATTAATTAAGGATAATCTTCGTTTACATCTGCCGAGTCGTTCATTCAAGAAGATATTCTAATATAAGAGGATCTTATGTTATGAGAAGGTTTTTACAGCAACCATTAGAAAAAAAAACAGCTTTTTTTTTTTTATCGTCAATCATTATTCAAAAATTTTCGGAATTACTGCTTGAACAATATTCGAGAAGATCTTAATGAACAATGAAATATATAACTGTTTCAGTTTGACACAAAAACATCGATCAGCAAAATTTTAAAAATTGATCATGCATTTTTATTTTTTAAGCTTTGTCTAAAATTCATTGACCTAATTGAATATTATTGTTTCTGTAACCAACAAAAGAAAATAGTAACTAAACAGTTTATCATTTATAACATCAAAATTATTGTTCTAATCAATCATTCTTCTTTTATTTTTTTTTTTGAAAAACTGAGATCAATTGTTCTTCTGCTTTTTATTATATCAAAACAACAAACAACTTAATTTTATCTTTTTTTTTGTTTTCTCCCACTACAGGCAATACATTTGTCTTTGATCACCAGCAAAAATGATACACCAAAAAACTAGAGAGAGAGAGAGACAAAAAAGAGTATCGCGAAGGTGACTAGAAAGAAAACAAAAAAAACAGTTTGGAATAAATCAATGACGAATTGTTCTTTTGTTTTTGTTTCATTCTCATTCGTACTTTTTCATAGCTTTACCATTTTTTCTCTGTCCCCAAAGAATAAGTCTTTTAAACCAAAAATGATATATTGTCCATAAAACAATTCCAAAAGCAATTGCTATCCAAACAAGTATAATATGAAATGGTAATGGTTTTGTAACAGTTTGCCAATCAAATTTTAATACAATTAATACTTCTGTTATTATAATAGCTGTTAAAACCCATGATTGTCGACCAAATTTTTTACATTCACGATTATCCAAATATTCAAATACTTCACGCATTGCAACACCACCAGCAAGTAAAAAAAAGGTTAAACGTATTAAACACAAAAAATGTGGTGGTGGAATCCATAAAATAAATTTTAAATAGAATGTACCTAATTCGACAAGAAGTAAAAAACATGTTATTAATAACATTGCAAGCCAACGTTTTATAGATGCTGTTGGACGCCAATCAAATTCAAGCCAATCATGTGGTGTAAATTGACCCAATACACGCATTATTTTACCTCTTTCAAAAATTAGTTAAATAAGTTAATTCGTTTTTGAAAAAAAAACAAAAAAAATATTTTTTTTTTGTTTTACCTAACAGTTGCTATTTTCCACATACCACGCCAATTGTATGGTTTCATTTTTAAATATTCACATGTTTTCATACCCACATAAATTCCACCACCATTACAAATAAGTGCATCAAGAATCCACTAAAATATATCGAATGAAATATTTCTAAAAAAACAAATAACTTACATGATCCCACCAACATTCACTAAAATTTGGTAATTGATGTTCAAGAGAATACTCAAGAATTTCAAAACCTATTGATGTTACCATACAAAGCCAATAATCACGAACAATTAATGTCTAAACAAAATTTGTTTTTATTGAAAAAAAAAAACAAATCATAAAAGAATAATGATTTACTTTTAGCCACCAACCAAAAAAATGCGATAAAACAAAAACATCCATTTTATCCTAATAAAAATAAATATAGTTAATAGTATTTTAATGTTGTTTTTTTTCGAAATGGGATCGTTTGAAACTGAATCCAGTGACGAAGCCAGGATCTTGGGCTGAAGAAGAGGCTCATCCTCTAACATTCCCTCTGGTTCCGCCACTGATTGAATCAAAACTTATAGACAAGTTAGCAAATGTATTAGAGTACACTTTAAAGAAATAGGTTTTTTTTTACGGAATCTAAAAAGGTTCTTTGCGAACATGGAAACTCTAAACTTTTTTTTGGGTTTCGTACAAAAAAGCGCAAAACCTTCTTCACTCCATGGATCTTTCAAATGGTTTTGTGCTTTTCGTAACAGAAATTTTTTGTAAGAGTGTATCAGATTTAAATGGAATTGGTTCGCGTTTTTTTGAGACCGAATCAATCTCTTCTCTTTTGTTTTCCTCTTACTTTAAAATAATGAAATGGATCTTCTGGATTTTCCCAATCATAAATGCGACATGTTCCACCATAATCTTTATCTGGTAATGGTACACCTAATGATGGATCGATAGTTTTTAATAATTGTCTTGCATCATCGACTGTCTAAATTTTATTTGAGTTCATTGAAATTGAGTGTATATGTATATATCTACGTACTTGAAATAGAATATAGATAAGTACAATTTCATAGAGTACGCTGAAGCAAAGTACTAGACGCCAAAGAGCTGAAAAAAGAAAGCAGTGAAGTTCAATGAGAAAACTTTTTTTTTGAAGCAGAAGAAATGAATTTACCAGGAT